ATTCGCAAAAAAAAGTCTCCAATCTCATATACGTCAACCCCCCTTGGTCAACCCTGCAAACTATCATTTTTCCTAGAAGTGATTTTTTCAGTCGTTATCAATATCATACCCGTGTGCAAAATTATTTACTGACTGTTCACTTGGATAATTTAAGGTGTTATTGACTATAGACGACTGAGATTGGAGCTATTTAAAGTTGATTTGTTTGACTTTTCAATCGAATTCAGTACGGAAAAATATAACTCAAATCAACTTCAATCACAGTTGGCTAGAGCCATCTAACTTTACAAATTAGCCGTCTGTTTTGAATCAGATAAATAGGCGACTATAGTCAACTGGTTAAATGGCTACAGTTGACAAAATGCATTTTCAGTTGATTTCAGCTAGCCCGTCATTTACTCAGTCAGACCATTTTTTTGCACACGGGTAATTTAACCAAAACAAATAAGTCTCTCGCAATAAACTTGCAATTTAATTTAGTTGTTTTGATGTCCGCACAGCACTTTGAGTGATTCACTGTGGAGTGTGGATATACGACTTGTGTGTTGTATGCCTTAATTCAAGGTTATTCAAGTGGAGATGCTCATTAAATCACCAAAAATGAGATTCTCTACTTAACTTTATTGCCGAAGCATGCAATTTGTTTATCTCTCTATGCACTTCACCAAATTAAGGTTGAACGTACTACTTGACGAGCATGAATAAAAGTAAAAAGGGCGTAAGATTTGTATAATTCATGCGATAATAAATTTCGAGCGAAAGAAAAATAATTTCGAAATAAATAAATTCCCACACGGATTTGGTGGTGTACAAATACATCTAAATAAAAATTTACATTGCTTAAGGTGGTCTTTCATGTTGTCTATGTTTGAACAACCCGGTCAACCAGAGTTAATTGAAATGAAGTGAGAACGCATTAATTATGGCATGTAGCCATAACATCATTGCGGTTCTTTGCATTGGACCAAATAATTTAATTACAGTGCTTTTGATTTTGAATGCAGTTAATTAAAATCCGAAATTATAATAATGCCACAATGAGCAGTGACTGGCAAATTTGTTGAGGTGCTCATAATTTACTAAATTTTATTCAGCGGAGCGTAAACAGCTTCCCCGACGAAACGTTTATAATGAGCGAATGATTTTAATGAACCGAATTTAATGTTTTTAATTGATAAACTTCAACATTTTTTGTTTTCTTCAACAATTGTCGCGGATTGAGGTTTAAATTTTAGCCACAAAACAATATACATTATTGCTTCAATATTTGGATGCAAGCCCAAATGAGAACCTGTTGTCCTGTCTTATTACACAGAAATAAGTGCCGTATATTCAAACCAGAGAAACACACCCACATATAGGAAAAATGTCGTCATATTGTATTCATTATGATTGAATTCAATGTACTGCAAAAATAGGCTTGAATAAATGATAATGAATGTAAACACGGTCTAAACACAGTGGTTTGGAAATTGAATTCGATATGCTGCTATATTTGTACGTCGAACATTTCACTTGTATACATACCAATTTTAATTGGTTGTCAAGGATTAGATTTATGCAGCAGCGTAGCTGGAGGTTGGTTATGGGGGGTCTATAAAAATTTCATTTATTTCCAAGGCGCATTTTTTAAGCGCTGAATTCAGAAATCTATTGGATTAAACATGTATAAACTGGCTGATTGCAGCCAAAGGCAGATGTGAACCTTTTGTGCTATTTGGCTTGAGTTATACCCCCGGTTGCTATGCCACTGGATTTTTATGTTGGATAATTGTATATGTTTCTACCGTACTTCCCAATAAAATCCCCGAAATATTTACATTGTGATAATGGAGCTTCATTAATCATATTCATCGGAATTATTAATAAATCATCCTTTTTTTGCATCCGACCACTTTTGTTCAATGATAATGTTGTATATGAAATATTTATATTTGAGTAATATTCCGGCTGTGTTGTCGCATGTCGAGCTACGGCATATTGAAATGGAATGGCATCGTTTAGCACAGAGTATCCTCATGTTGAAGAGGTATTTGTAATACTTTCTAGAAAGAAGCTTCAACATTGGAGTGTAGTTTTATCAAAATGTAAGGATCCTTCAACCATCGAATTCATTTCGATATTTGTTAATGGCTTCGATCCAAATCGCAATCTCGAGTGTTCCGTTAAATTGAGCGTTAAACACGGCAATTTAGTTTCAATGGCACCTGCAATGAAATATTTTATTTACGACGAATACGACATTGTAACACATCAAGTTAATGGCATAGCTCTAAGCATGCAAAATCATTCGATTTGTGCAAAATGATGAAGAAATGTGAGGTAGAAAGACAAAGAGATAATTCAAATACTCAAATTGTATGACAAAAAAATGAACAATGTTTCAGTTTGATATACATTGTATTCATTTCCCATTAAATGACTTTGAATGTGAACGCCATGACGACAGAAGATATTTAATTATATAAATCAAGGGTATTACACGAAGTAGAGTACAACAACTGAAAATATTCACAATCTGGAATCATTGACAGTAAAAATCAATAAAATTGTATCCGTGACAGAAATCGTTAACTGAGTGAAAAGAAATTCCAACAGCATCTGTGTAAGGAGTGCACCATTTTTGTGCATACGAACAAGTTTTTACCATACCAAAAATGGTATATTCATACAATGCTCTCAACAATAACAAATAAAACTGCGAATTGTGCCTTTCGAAATTGCAGCTAATTCAATTTAATGTGCACGCCACAACTTTCATGGAAAAACTGGTTGTCGCCACAATTTAAATCGTGTTGTATTATTGTTACGGAATGACCTCATTGTTTGCGGATTTTTCGTATTATATCCACGAAAAACAGATGTGTTTATTGGTCTTAAACTTTTATCCCAGAGCCGTGCAACGAATTTGAAAAAAAAAAATCGGAGTTTTGCAGTGTCAATCTTTGCGCATGAAAGAAGATTTTATGTTGATAGAAATGAGTAAAAATATTTTAACCCTCCCACAGACGAAACATAAATATACAGCATGGAAGTGTAGTTGAATCCATTGGACCCAAATCGCTCTAGGATAAATACGAAGTGAGTCCAATACATATAACTGGACTCGTTTTCCGATTTTTCTGAACGAAAATATATAAAAAAAAATCTATAAGAAATTGGATGATGTTTCATGCATTTGTTCAAAATTTCTATTTGTACAGGTCCACTTATTTTTATTTGAGTTCCAAACTGATTAACTTAATGCGCATCAAAATGTCCGTCCGCATTTGTCCAATTGCCAGCTTTAAACTCTTTATTAGAGAGAAATAGTTTTCGTATTCCAAAATGATTATATGAATAAATGTGGTAAAGGTGGGAAAGAAATTAGTCGAAAAGCTTTCAGATTTTACTTATTCTCCGAAGAAAAATGTAAGATCCTAAATAAAAAATTTATAAAAAAGGGAAAAATCAGTACATTTAAAAACTATACACCTCATCTGCTTGGCTATGGGCTTAAAGAGATCCATTCCCACTTTTATATGATAATATATTATATAAGTGAACTTACAGAAAACGAAGTGTTACATTTCCGGCAAAATCCTTCGAGACAAAAAAATCTCACTTTGTTTTTCCCTTTTACATCTAATTTAGCTCTTCATTTTTTCACGACTGACCATTTTTCGCGTCGGGATTTTATATTTCTAACAAATTTACACTTCTTTCGTTCATATTTGTCCTTATGTTTGTTTTGGACAAAAAAAGATTTGAGTCGAGCGAAAAATGTTGTTTTCCGAATTCTTTTTCTTTTCAAACACATTTTGTAAGACAGAATTTATATTTTATACAGTCTACTAGTGGAATAAATTTTCTAGTCCACAGTAATTTTTATGGAGGTTTCGAAGGCGCCCAGATGTGAACATTTATTCGAAAGCATCCTTTTAAGGGGATATTATGTAAATTAAGAGTAAAAAAAATGTTTTGATTAGTATTTTCCGTTGGTCTGTTTGAAAAATCTATTCGAGGCATATAATAAAAATATGATTATAAATTAATGTACAATAGCTTTAACTTTGAATAATTAGATTTAATTATCCAAAAAAAGTTCATGTTTTCTTTGTTTTCTTTGTTTTGTTGTTCGTTTCGTAAAATGAGAATAAGTAAAAATGATTACCTCCTGAGTATTGCATTGTATTTATTTATATGTTGCACCATTGCTCTTAAAGCACGTTGCTATGAAATCGTAAGAAAGTGTTTGCTCAACATTTTCAATTTCCTTCTCACCAACGGAATGTAAAACAAACTACGTGGAAAACAGATTAAGTTATGCATATCACGTTTTTCAATTTGGAAAAGAAAGAAATACGTTTTTATAATAGTTACGCAATGCAGATGGAAAATTCGCTAGAAAACCGTTTTCAAGTGAATTTTATGTTCTTTTCTGAGAACTAAATGTAAATAATTTATAGTTTTTCCTGAAAACAATAACAACAACAAAAGAAAAACAAACCATTTTAATGGAAAGAATTTTTTTTATCCTTTTAGATAATTTTGGTATTGAAGTCACTGAAGCTATACGGAAACTCACACATTACCGTTATTATTCAAATCATATCGCACGTGCTGGCCTACATGAACAGTTGTGTCAATCCCGTCTTGTATGCGTTTTTGTCGGACAATTTTCGCAAGGCATTTCGGAAAGTAAGTAGCCCACATTTTCTCTCATTTATACTTGGGTTTATTTCTTAAATAAATCACTGACAATTGCTTTGTCAGTTGCGTGTTATGATATATATGTGTTTTTGTTTGAGTATGAGTGGTGTTAGTTCACTTTTTCGATCACATTTACAGTTGTTCATTTCATGCATAAATAAAAACTAACTTTACAGCGCTCAATTTTGTTTTACAAACTTAAAACTTTTTCTAGAATTATGAATCTTTTTTTAATTAACTCACATTTTTGCTACGAAGTCATTAAAGCCATTTTTCAAGCAGATGGATAACTAAAGAGAGAAAAATGAACGGTAAACTTGTTCAGTTGCACTTTTCTTCAACGTTGATAAGTTTAATTAACAAATCTGAGCATATATTCAGGGAGCACAGAGTCGGGGCAGTCGAAAAATTCAATAGAAAAAGAGATGAAAGCAGTTTTCCAACAGAAATTCATCGGATTGGCGCAATTGAAAATTTCCACTTGCAATTCCCATTGCAGAATGTGCTATTTATCAAAACATGCAGTACCATTTATCGTTCGCCAAATGAAATGCCGGAAAACCATTTACTAAGCTTTGCCTTCGTTTTAATTAAAAGCAATCAATTGTTCTGTCTATTTTAATTAGTTGCTTTAAAAAAAATGTTTAGCGTTGATTTGATAGATACTGTGTTCTATGTATAGGCTATTTCCACGCAATTTCACTGATTCGAGGCAATAAATGCAACATTTTGATCATTGATATTAAATCACTTTAACTTGATTTTAATGGAAATATTCAATCTTTAATTTCATTTTGTGAAAAAGTTTTATTCTCCCTGAGATTTATTTCCGCTCCGGAGAAAAGACATAAGTTTCAATGCATTTGTAATTTTTAATATGATTTGTCTCAAACCATGTGAAGTTTATCAGAAACTTTCCAAAGAAACCGACCTACGCAAGTGGACACAAAACTTTTAATGGATTTCTAATTTCCTCTTGCCGAGTCGACTCATTGCCGGTCGATGAATTTCTTCCAAGAAGAGTCAAAGCTTAAGGCGTTTGCGTTAGTTAGAAATGTGTCGGAAATAAAAAGCATTACTGAAAATTTAGAAGAAAAACTTGGATTCTTTTACCGCTTTGGTTTGTGGAAAAAGTGTGCCACAATGATTATGTTCTACGACAAAATAAGACATCAAAATACTGCAAATAAAAAAACGACTATGATAACAATGGCAACAGATGCAAGACTTATTACGAATATTAGTACATTGATTGCGATTAATTGTTGTCTATAGAGTTTCGACGTGTTCACTTCACACCAGACACATTTGGTTTGAATTGGTTACCAGACATAATAGCATAATCATCATGAGGCAAACGGCCTTTCTCTCCTTTTTTTGTTTAATGGAGAACATTTTCTTTCCAACTTTGGAAATTTTTGCGGATTGACGCAATGTCGCAGTAATAAATTACGTTGAGATGGTGACAGAGTGAATAACAATGCACGCAAATATACATGGCAAAAAATGGAAGCTATTGAAGTAAAATTCTCCTCACTTTTTACACCTGATTACCTACGTTTAGTGCCAGGTTTCACGTTAGAAAAAACATTCAGAAAAAAATTGCTGCCATTATTTGATGTGCGAGTCTTTTTTAAATATAGCTCTCGATCACAATCGTGCAATGACTTAGCCATTTTGCCTCATAATAAACAGTAAAAAAGGAACACAAGTCACTTCAGGTAAATGCCTCAGCATTTAGACAGCATTGGATTACTGCGCATTCATGTGCTGTCTGACTTTTTTCAATGCAATTTTTGCTTTCGATATTTTAAAATGCGATACATTGTCTCAAGCTCCTCGGATCATGTGCAAATATAGCATCACGTAATACGATTTGTTTAATCGAAAAAGGTCTGTTTTGCACATCATTAGCACCCTTTGGAAGAATAAACTTAGAAAAAAATCGAAGTGAATTCGATCCCAATTCCTCCCATTTGCTCTCTGCATATATGTGCTTATTTTAAAACCAATTTCTTTTGAACACATTTTTTTCTTATTTTATATTCGTCTGCTGAAAGTTCTCATGGGTTTTATCTCCATTTTGCACCCATTGCCTTTTGTTTTGCTAATTTCACGCTTCCGCATGTTGGCTTGAAAGGCGAAAAAAGACATTACAAAAGTGAGAGTATAAAATCGTGCTAAATTTCACTCAATGAACTAAACTTATGCACCGCTTTTTTTGCTTCGCATGTATTTGAACAATGCCCGACTTTATTTTAAGAGGAATTACCATTGATTTCGTATATTCGACCACAATAAGTTGCTTTATTTTTCACATTTTTTATGTTTGTCTTTGCACCCTTGCCACAAAGGACCAAACTTATTTTTTGAAGATTCATTAAATTTCGCATAATTTTTTTTGTGTGTAGTACATTTATTGCAATTTTGCGAAAGATAGAGACAGTTTGCTTACTCTTGCAAAAACTTGTTAAACACAAAAAATGGTTTAAACTATAGTTTATCATATTTTTGTGGCTTCTATGCAAAGACAGGTGGCGAAACAAAGGCTATCGACCGAATATTATCCTTGTAAAAAAACACAAGAGAAAATGAAAATTGCATTTTTAAGAGAAAAAAAATAGTGATCCATTTACTTCTTGACCATTCGAACAAACCATTTAATTAAAAATGCCATTGCTTATTCATAAGTTATTTTTTTTTTTTTTTCATTTAAACAAAACACAAGAAAACTAAAACCAAAACAAACAAACTTTATTAAATAGCACACTTTATATTATAACATTAATCAAAAATAGAAAAAAAAACACATACACACATCTTTCGATGTGAAAAATCAAGTAAAAAATCGAAATTAAAATGAACTCTCTCTGTTGTCTGTTATAATTCCCCGAACAGATGAAATGTGTTTGTTTTGCCAAGATGGATGTGTCCAGAGAAGCATATGAACCGATGAGTCTAGAAACGACACTGTAAAAACCACACACAATGCACACCACGACACTGATTTGTGAATCGGTTTTCGAAACACACAAACACTCCACACACCATCAAATATGTGGACATCGAGTATAATAATCGTGACATGGTGTCGTCGATTCCTTCTCAACGCAATACATGAAAAAAAAAGAAGAACAAGTTGGGCAATGCGATAAAAGTGTTGCGCACAAAACTTCAAGGAAATAACCAAAAGTACAAACTAATAATATCATTGCAATGTTATGCTTTAAAAGTTTTTCGTACGTGTGATAACAACTTGATGCATCATCGCACGTAAACCGAATGTATAATTTGTAGAATCAAAGCAAGTAGTACAAAATTGGTGTAACATTCTATTTGAAACAGATTCATAATGGAAGAATCCGTATAAAACGATTAAGAAAAAGATCATTGTTATATTTGTGTGCGCCTTATGTAAACTTTCATGATCAATAACAAAATTTGCTCAATTCTACGTATATCAGATTAGCATATCATATGAAGCATTCATTAGAAGTGTGAATTGTGCAAATACATATGGTGGGCACTTTTCGAATCCGATTCAAACTAATAACACGCCCAACACGCACACTTCTTTTAAACTCTTCATATTTTATCAAAGATCTTATTTAGTATAAAGATAAAGTTGCTATTTAATAAGATTAAGAAAAATGTGGTGTTCCAAGTTTTATGTTTTTCTGTGTGCTGTTTTCATCATAATTACTCTAATTTCAAAATATTTGTTGTTGTAATTTGTAGTTCTCACCTTTTTGAAATTGACTCCATGTTCTGTGTTTTAACTGTTATGCATATTACAAATAGATGTCATGCCATTTTATTTGCTGTCAAGTGGTGTTGAATGGCATGTTCTACAAATATGAATAATAATGTGTTCTTATAATCATCATCGTAATCACCGCCTTGTTTGTGGCATAAACTGTCATAGCCAAAAATGAAGGATAATCCAATACCACATAAATTAACAATTGAATGACATATCAAATGAAAGCGTCAAATTGCATCAATTTAACATTTAATTCACATTAAAATCAGAGTTTCATTCAGCGCTGCTGCCATGCTTAGCATAAAAACGTATGCTAGCTGAGAATGCGTCGTCCGTCGCATGCGAATGTACGTAGCAGTTTTTACATCACAGCGAACAACAATACATACATTGTTCTCTATACAATCGCTTGGATTTTTTGAGTCACATAATCGTGAAGAGAAAAATGCATGCATTCTTGTTCGCTGTCTACGTACATTCGCATGCGACGGACGACGCATTCTCAGCTAGCATACGTTTTTATGCTAAGCATGGCAGCAGCGCTGAATGAAACTCTGATTAAAATTAATACAGTGGACTCTCGATATTCTGAACCTGATTTGAATTTTCATTGAATCACAATTTTCTCGATCATTTTATTCTTGCCATTTAAAGTGCTGGATCACTCAAAAGCTCATCGAGAATCGACTGTATTAATTTTTTACAATTAGATGAAATTCAACAGTATTTTGAAACCATTCGTGCGATGAATATTGTTCCCATTTCAAATTAAAGCAATGCTGCTAAGTTGTCAAACAAAATATATAAATAATATATTTTTCCAGAAAAGCTCAGTAAATATAAACTTGAAACAAGTATAACAGAGATATTATATTTGTAAATATATTTTTCATGGAAATTAAAATATACAATTTAAAACTGAAACATCTTTTTTCGATTTTTTTCACATGTTTTTTTTTTTTTAAAGAAAGAAATTGAACAATGTGAGTAAGACTTTATTTTCATTTGATTAGGTTGTGTGGTGTGGTCGACCTGGTGGATACCCATTTGAAATGACGCAACATCAGACGAAAGCCACACGGACCACAGGTGCTATAACAGGTAACGGTATGTCACATGTTGACCTTCTGTAAACGAAATCATCGTCCAGCCGAACCGAAATGAAAGAGATTTATTCAATTTTTTGCTGTTTCAATAAATACGATTTTTGTACAGATAAAATTGAATTTAATTTTGTATACTGTTTAACATCAGTTATTGTTTTATCGCCTTTGTTCCAATCAATTGGTTTTCCTTTAGTTCGTCACGATTAAAAATATTTAATTAAAAATACACATTGATTATAATAATAAATACTATATAATTTACATCGATTTAGTGATCGTAAGTACAGTAGATTTAATGTAATCAAGTATTTAGTAATATTTATAGTGTGAATTTTTACCAAAATTCTAGTTGTTATCTAATAAGCGCGGTGATTAGGTGCAAACTATCAAGATAAAAAAGGGGGTGTTACGTGTACGAAGTGTACGTATAATAAAAAGATTTAGTAAATGAAATTAACGTTTCTCTAGTTAAAGTATGTATAATAAATATTTAACAAGAAAAAAACTGCTGTAAGCGCTCAAAAGGGCAGAGCCATCGATTTAATGAGGGATAAAAGATGACAGTTCTTTTATATTCTAAGTGAAAATAAAAATAAAACATTTAACAGGATGTTAAAAAGCGTCCAAGGTTCTTAGAAAAATTAATTTTCAAACCAACAATTTAAAAATTTAACTTTACAAAAATATCAAGAGCAACAAATTGATAAAATAAGAAACCTGGACTAAGTATGAATGTACTTCGGTTGTAAGCTATAGATTAGATTTGCGTTGCCATAACTGTCATCAATTAATCATCGTTTGCAGTGGCGAGAAATTTGGACTGGCATTTTTTTTTGGTACATTATCTACTTAAGCCTGTTGGCTGCAAAGTTTTCACGTGGAGGAAAATTTAAATGACCTTACGAAAACCTCAGTTTATTTATTTCGCTAAATACATACACCCAATCTCATTCTAATCCACTTGGTTAAACAATTTCGTCCAATTGAAAAATCGTTTTCAATGTTCCTTTAATGGTCAAGTTCACTGCGTAGCTATTCATTAAAATTCTCCCATCCCATTTTCCCCTACTCTTTTTTTCTCTTTATCTTGTTTCACTTAGAAATTTTATTTGCCATCATGAAACTTTTTATCCAAACGTTGGGCGCTGGGAATTTCAATTGAAAAACACGTGTTTTTTGGTTGGTCTCCCCATGTAATCTAAGAGTATCCATTAAATGACAGTTTTTCTATTTCTCTTTTCTCACATTCACTCACAATGAGTCTCATTCTTACATACCGTGACGAGCAGCAAATGGCTTCTAATTTAGAAGTTTTATGAATTCACCAATTGATTATCATAATTTGAGTTGGATCTAAACTTTATAACGCTTGTCTGGCGATCGGAGCCATTTAAAAGGAAACAAAAAAAACGAATTCATACAAACCTCGCATTACGAAGGGAAAACACATTCAAGGCTAATCACAATGACATGAAATAAAGACGACTTTTTTTCGACTTGATTGCGTGAAATTGTATGTGGCTGTGGGATTGAAATCGAGCCGGTATATTCTCACCGAATGCCTCAGTCTTTTATCATCGCATGAATAGTTAATTCGCAATTTCTCGATACGGCGACATTGTGATACAATGAACCCCAACATAATTCGCTCAGTTCCTATTTACACATAAACAACACAGTTTGTGTGAGAGCATACGCCCGCATTAATAAAAACTGAACCTAAAATGAATTAAATGCTGTAGTATTTTTTTTTGTTCTTCCTTGAACAATGTGAAATCGGTACGCAGCATCGTATTTTTCGTGTTGTCAGCATATGTTCAAATATTATCTTTCGTGTACGTGAACTTTTTGTCATCTGTCTAATTATCAGCTTGGCAAAAACCACTATGTTTTATTTCAGTTAATGACAACGACCAACAACTCGACGAAATGAGAGTGATCCGATTCGTATAGTGTGCGATTCAGACTGGAAAAGAGACGTTGAATTGCTTATTACGGTTCTTAATGACATTGATTTCATCCCTCGACAGCAATCAAAAGAGAACAAATAAAAATGACCGAATTAACCATGGAATTTTACGATCCCATTGATAATTTCGATGTAGAATATATGTGCGTCCAATTGTCCCATTGTCTGTGTGCAAATCAGCCATATACCACGACCTGTCCAACACAAAATTTACCATCCATACTATTTCTCTGAACTAAGTGTGCGCGTAAACTCGAAGTGAATGATGTGCGCGGTCAATTGCTCAGCAGTAGCTAATTCAGTTATGACCTCAGTTCATTAGTTGCGTAAATTAAATTCAATCGAAAGGAATTTGAAGGCTTTTCATTGTACTGTTGCTGTTGCCTCGTAATATGGTGAAATTCGTAACAGGAAAAAGTAAAGAGCATCTAAATTGAGTTTGAATGGAAACCCAAAGTGGGTGTATTGCTGCGCCTCTATTATATCAAGTTTATTGAATTTTTCCGGCGCTTTTTATTCTGACAACATTACAAGTGAACACATTATGACAACACAATATTCCGTATACACATTGCATACTTCTAACCGCACCACTTTGATTCACTGTGTTGTACGAACAAAAACCGCAACTAAGATGAGAAAAAGCACAAGACTCCCTCATAGTTAAGCTACAAAATATGAAAAGAAAACCTCATTTTGTTTGTGTAAGACATTTTATTAAATTTTGCAATAAATGCGTTCGCGCCTTTCCAGAGTCTAGTGTGTTTTCATTCAGTGTATGTAAAATGCTTTCGTAGCGGGAGCAAAATATAGGGAGACATTGAATTATCAATGAAGTGAACAGAAAACGGATCCCATGGAAGTTCAGTGATGTTTTCGTGCTAGACATTCATATACATTACATGCACTACATTACGTGGTATATAATATGAGAAATATTGATCTTGTGTGGTGGTAAAAAATGTTTGTTTTTCCCCCACATTTGCACATAGATAAACATGTACATATGTATTTAGAAAAGTTTCTTTTAAAAAGAAATGAAGTAAAAACACAGTGGTTTTTCAACTATCGCTCACATACGCACACATTCTACAGACTGAATATTTTATTTAATATATTGAAATATGTACGGAAAATGCTAGAGGATAGCAAAATGCCAGAATATATTCAGAGGGATAAACACCACCATCATTCACCATGGACCATGCAATGAACTCTTACATTTTTATTCGAATGTTGACGATGCCACGTAATTGTTTTGACGTGTGATATAAAAAAAAAGTGGAAATCATCTTATGGCATCATCAAACAATCGTATCGTAAAATCAAACGCGAATGCACAACGAACTTCCAAAATGGAGCTTATTAAAAATATACAGAGATCAGCCAAAAACAAGTGTATATACAATGAAATATATAATATAAAAATTGTTGAATGTGTTTCGTTTTTCTAAATTTTCTCCTCCATCCTTCTCATTCTTTTCAACAACGTGTGGCTGTCATTTTCGATTCATTTGTTCGATGGAGTTTTGTGTTTATATTCAAATCGTTACATTTTATTAGCGGGTAAATAAACTGAATAATTTGATGAAATGTAATTATACATTGACATGTATTTGTTTTACCTAACACAAACACATTCACACACCCAACATTCAACACATCAAAATACTCACGAGCGAGTTATTCAAGTCTTTCGTTTTTTATTTTTCTACCTCATGAAATCACCAGGGGCTAGACACTGGGAATCATAGTCCTTAGAACACTCTAGAACCGTCGGGAATCGTTGATTGTTTATGAAGTCAAAATATCTTCTAGTAGGCAACAATTTGGATAATTCTCTTTTACGCAGACATTCTTCGATTCTGTGTGGCTGAGTTTAAAGTAGTTCAATACCCGATGATTTTTTGTTTTATTTTAAAAATCTACGTAAGTTTCGCCATTTGTGGAATCGTAAGGATACTCAAAATCGAATAGATTCTTCCTCTTGACTATGTGTCTAGCCCCTAGTGAAATCACTCGCTACTCCTTTGTCTTGCTTAATCTGTGAAAGCGTCTTGCTTTGATGGTTTGTGATGTTCAGTTCATTTTAATGGAGCGAGTATATATCGTTATCGAGTGTTATGTATCATGTCTTCATTTCAGTTGCAGTTCAATAAAAGCGCAACCTTTTATTTTCTTTTTTTAACTATTTGAATTTTTATTTTTCAATACAATAAATTCAAATCGTTTTACGTAAGCTCGATCCATTGAAAATACAAAGAA